GCTCTCGGGGACGTTACCTGTGCTGAGGTGTGTGCAGTCGCAGCAGGTTTGGTGCTGAGCATCGGCTGCAGCTCAGATCTCGTGCTCGGTTGTGATGAAAGCGGGAACGCACGATTATATTCCAGGAGAACGCTTCCCTAGTCTGGACTATTCACATAATTTCTGTGCCCTCCAGCGAGTGTCCGGCTGTCTCTTCTCCAGCAGCCGTCCCTCCCGGCAGCAGTCGCCGTTCTGCCTTTCCTGCCTGTGGGGTTCACTGCCAAGTATGATATCCACGTAGCGGTAGCGTTACAGCCCGAGGCCTCTCATACCTTCTCGGTGATACTCATCCTCAAGAATATCTGCTTGCTGTAGGAGATGCAGGAGCAGCTGTGTGAGTTTCACTCCGTCTCTGCTGAAACGTGGTGCCGGGTTAGAGCTGTGGGGCTGCCCTGGACCAGTGATACTGGGATGTTGAGAGAGCGTCTGACACTTCAGAGCAGCGCCCGCATAGGACGGCATAAATTCCCTGTTTACCACAACCCTTTTGAAGCAACGGTTGCCCATTTTTACTGGAAAGCTTTTCGGGTTGTGTTGATTCCTGGGACGTGCAGTGCGGGTTGCACGCGTTCCCCCGGAACCTGCATGGGGAAGGCAGGAGGCCCTCGTTAGGGAACGGGCAGTTTCCAAGGTCCAGCAGGCAGAGGCCCATTTCCAAAGCCGTAGTCTCCTAGCCGTGCCTCAGTTCTCACTTTGCCAACGGATTATTGTTTTCTTAGGAAAAGAAATACAGCACAGCTTCGTACTCTTCCCCTGTGCTCTAAATCGTCCTGGACTTCTCTGCAGGGGAAGGACTGGGGTAGCTCCTTTTACTTTCTTAAGGGAGCTTTGAGTACACGGATTGAAGAGCCCAGCCTAGATCTCTTCAAAGTCAACACCCACAAAACTCACCAGTGATTGACTGCTAACTCTCCAGCTTTCGCCACGTTCTGGTGCGCCTTGAGAGTCATCCCAGGCACCTTGAGAGTCATTTTGGTAGCGGAAGACACGGGGCAGGGAGCTGCAAGGGGGGGGACGTTGGGGAGTTTGAATGGTTTGGGTGGATGGGAGTCTAGCGGGGAGGGTGCAGGATTGGGAGCAGCGGCTAAGGGCAGATCGTTTTTTGGGATAGGATTGGGAGTAGCTGAAGAAAACTGATTCTGGGGGAGATTTAGGACAGTAATAGCACCAGGTGACACGTGGGGGTCCTGATGAGAGTCGTCCGATCACGAAGAAATTTGCCAGAATAGTATAGCTCCCTGGCGCACGGAAAAACGTGCGGAACTGGGAAAGGAGAGATGACACTCTTTCCTCTTTCCTCTGACACTTCAGAGCAGCGCCCGCATAGGAGTGCATAAATTCCCTGTTTACCACAACCCTTTTGAAGCAGCGGTTGCCCGTTTTTCCTGGAAAAAATGGGCACTCGGGTAGCCGAACTGCGCCGGTTGCCCTTGTCCTCTTGCTAAGCAGAGACATAGCAATAAAGGCCACTGACAACAACAAAAGGCATCACGGTTGCTGGGTAATGGAGAAGCTAATGAGTAAAAGGCCATCAAGAGCTGACTTGGGGAGTTTCTGTGTCCCTGTTCACTAGTCCAGGGATGTACCACCGTATACTTTTGGTCTGACCATTCTCATCTTCTTGTCAGTGGCAGAAAAGTAACGAGGGGAATGCAGGAAGTCAGGAGTGCTGCTACAGCGGGTCTGTCTGTGGAGTGATCTGGTGGTAAGAACCTAAGGGCCGAGTCTCTTCTGCGCGTCAGCTTTGTTAAAAATCGGTGTGTCTGGCAGAGGGGAGGACCCAAAGGGGATCCTCCCTTCCCAGTCCACCGCGCACAAGGCTGCCGCTTTTCCCCGTTCCTGGCTCCAGCCATCAGGAAGGCTAAGTGCAGATTCCAAAGGTGAAACCCACTGCAGACGTGGCTGGTGACAGGTTTACACAGACAAGAAGGGGGACGGTACCTTCGCAGACACCCACGTAAACGCAAACAGTCCTTGTAGGTAGGTCGTGAACAACACAGACAACCGAACCCTGTTCCTACCCTCTGGCTAAGCAGGTGTAAGGCTTCCTGGTGGAACACGCACATACGCTCCCTTATTCAGCTCACGTAAATACGCGTGTTTGCAGGTCTCGACAGTCTCTGGCCCAAGCGTCACGTTCTTCAAGGCTTTTTGCTCAGAGCCTGAGCCTTTGATCCAGTTTCTGGGCCAGCTGTTGGGTCTTTCCACATTTTGGATTCCTCCTTGCCGGCTTGTCCAACTTGCATTTTACTAGTAGATCTTGCGCAGTTACCCCGAATGAAGAGCAAACTCGCACAGTGAATACAAATGGAGTTTGATAAAAAGATAGAGCAGACTCTGGTGATCAGGCACAGGGCTTGGCCGGACAAGCGTACTGACCAGCAGCCTGCTTGCCTGTGATCATCCCCTTTTTATTCTCCACCCTCTGCATTTTCCCCATGCTTGTTCCTCCCCTCTCCTACTCCTTGGCCACTGCCTTTTCCTACTTGTGATCCTTCTGCTCCACATCCCACGCTAAGTTTTGCACATTCCCACAATCTCCCTTAAAACTTCCCGTAGCAAGTTTGCTCTTTCCCGTGAGAGCTGTTCTGATAACCCACGATAATCTCAATTTCCTCTGCGTACTGATGACCAAGTTTTTGGTCGCACCTTTAGTGTTACCATCTGAGCGATCCCTTTAACGATCCGTCCGTGCGCGTCTTGAGTCTTGTCTCTGTTATCTGCGTTTCACAGGATCACAGAATCACAGAATGGTTAGGGTTGGAAGGGACCTCTGGAGATCATCCAGTCCAACCCCCCCGCCAGAGCAGGGTCACCTACAACAGGTTGCACAGGACGGCGTCCAGGCGGGTTTTGAATGTCTCCAGAGTGGGAGACTCCCCCACCTCTCTGGGCAGCCTGTGCCAGTGCTCCACTACCCTCAAAGTAAAGAAGTTCCTTCTCATGTTAAGACGGAACTTCCTATGTTCAAGTTTATGCCCATTACCCCTCGTCCTATCACTGGGCGCCACTGAAAAAAGACTGCTCCCATCCCCCTGGCATCCTCCCATTAAGTATTTGTATGTATTAATAAGATCCCCCCTCAGTCTTCTTTTCTCTAGACTAGAGACCCAAGTCCCTCAGCCTTTCTCCATAGGAGAGATGTTCCAATCCCCTCATCATCTTCGTTGCCCTTTGCTGGACCCTCTCCAGCAGTTCCCTGTCCTTCTTGAACTGGGGAGCCCAGAACTGGACACAGTACTCCAGATGCGGCCTCACCAGGGCAGAGTAGAGGGGGAGGATGACCTCCCTTGACCTGCTGGCCACACTCTTCTTGATGCACCCCAGGATGCCATTCGCCTTCTTGGCCGCCAGGGCACATTGCTGGCTCATGGTCATCCTGTTGTCCACCAGAACTCCCAGGTCCCTCTCCACACAGCCGCTCTCCAGGAGGTCAGCCCCCAACCTGTACTGGTGCATGGGGTTATTCCTCCCCAGATGCAGCACCCTACACTTGCCCTTGATGAACTTCATCAGGTTTCTCTCTGCCCAACTCTCCAGCCTGTCCAGGTCTCGCTGTATGGCGGCACAGCCTTCTGGCGTGTCAGCCACTCCTCCCAGTTTGGTGTCATCAGTGAAGTGGCTGATGGGACACTCTATCCCTTCATCCAGATCATCAATGAATATGTTGAACAGGACTGGGCCCAGTACTGACCCCTGAGGGACACCACTCGTTACTGACCTCCAACCAGACTCTGCACCACCAACCACAACCCTCTGAGCTCTATCCGTCAGCCAGTTCTCCATCCACCCCACTGTCCATTCATCTCACCCACACTTCCTAAGCTTGCCTGTGAGGATGATGTGGGAGACAGTGTCGAAAGCCTTGCCAAAGTCAAGGTAGACAACATCCACTGCCCTCCCCTCATCCACCCATCTAGTTACTTCGTCATAGAAGGCTATCAGATTAGTCAGACAGTTTCATTAAGGTTTGCGCGCCCGCGCGCCTGTGTGCTTAATTTATTATCTTTCCTGCTTATTGCCATGTCTCCTGTGCTCAACAGCCGTTACCCAGCGACCTTTACATCCTCCTCCTCCTGCCCGCGTGTGCGGGCTGGCATGCCTTCGCATCCTTCTGTTCCTCCTCTGTGGTCGCCACCCGAGGTGTCCATTTGGGGACAGTCCTCTGAGTAGAGGGAGACGTTGTGGGGCTGAGAGTTCCCTGTCTGTGTCCACCACGGCACAGGGCTGTCTCGCCTCTCTCCTCCCGTCTCGTGAGGGGAGCGGCGCCCTCGGCTGCGGGTGGGATGGGGCGGGAGGGCTGAGGGGAGCGGTGGTGTTTACGGAGGTTCTGGACAAAGCTGTGCCAGACTGTGCAGTCAGCTCTGTCCAGAAACTGCTTTCTTGGAAGGAGCTGGGGAGTAACTATCATCTTTCTCGGAGTCAGACAGTGAGGAATCGGGCTACAAAATCCGGTTGCTGTGGCTGTTACCAAGTCATGTTATTATTTCATAAGCCGATCAAACTTCATCTTAACAGTTGTTATTTTTGTGTCCTCGTTGTTTGGAAAGCTTTTCCAGAACCTAGGGACTAGAAACCTTTTCAGCTTCAGCTTCTCCATGGCGAGTCTCGTGCTTTTGGCAGTGTTCTTCTAGCTTAGCTCTCCTCTCAGTATTCCGTCCCTGAAACGTTCATGGAGAGCAGTCACGTCCTTTCTGATCCTTTGAGTTTTCTAGGCCAGCTGGTTTAAATCTTAATTTTGTAGGAAAGGCGCTCTGTTCCCCTGCCTGTCGTAGCAGCTTTTCTCTGCACATCTTGTTAACTTCTGTTAGATAATTTTTTTGTGGGTGAAGGATGAGAATAGCATACGATTTTTCAGATGAGTTCTCTTCAATGTTTTGTATGAATGACATTGCTGCTTCCCTGTATGTGCTGGAAGCACATTTCAGATCTCTTTGTCTGACGCATTATGCCTTTCACCGATGTTGCACGACAACTGTAGTTGTATTCTTGAAGTTATCGGCATAGCGTATTGGATAATGTTTCCTTGTCCAAAATAATTCTAGTTTTCCTTTTGTGTCAGCCAGTCGGTCACCGTGGACTAGCGGAGTCTCTCTCTTAGTGCTTCCAAGTCTTTTTATACCTGGGCTACACTTCTTCCGGCTTAAAACTGACATCGTCCTCAGACTGCCATGACCTTGCCCAGCATGGGCGAACAGCAGCCCAGTGGCCGGTGACAGGTCCTGTTGCGCATCGGATCACGCTCTTCAGTGCCTGTGTCTGGGCTTTGAGAGTGATTGCTACGGGCAAATGGCCTTGTGCAACGGCAGCTGATGCTATGGCCCATTAGTGCGCCGTGGCGTCACTTCTGGGAATCGCTGTTTCGTCTTCTTCCCGTATTGAGATCTTTGGACCCATTCCTTTAATGCAGCCTCTTGCGCTTCTTTTCTCGTGACCCAGTAGGAGAGGTGGATTGCAAAGCCGAGCAGTGACAGGTACTCTCCTGGAAATGCGGAAGCCACAGCGTAGTCGGGCAGCAGCTAGGTTTGTAGTGCTGCAGGAGGTGGAGCGTCACGCTTGGTCTTCGTGGTCCTCTGGAGCATCGCTGATGCTGTTGGGCCTTGGAGGTGTACCGGGAAGGTGGGAGAGGGGCTGGTAAGCTGTCTAGAAAGAGGACTGTGGTCAGGTGGGGATGAGCGGGTGCCTGTGTCCCTTTGCCAAATAGAACGGAGTAGGGTAAGTTGCAAAGCGCTTTGGGGAACAAGCTTTTGAGAAGGGGCGGTGTTCCTGCAAAATGGGGACCTTTCGGATGCTTGGCTAAGTGCTTAAAATGACAGGGTGTACTCGGGTGATGGTCTGACGCTGAGTTTGCGGGTTGTTCTAGATCAATGGGGTAGACATGACAGAAGCCAGGCATGATCAGGCAGTAGCGCTGCTTACCGCATCCTCCCCCACCATCGTGCTGCTGGTAGAGAGAGAGGGTGCAGAGCAGCTCAGCGAGGGAGACTCACCAGGCGTGCCGCGAGTGCGCATGCACTCCCCGCCGCCGCCTCCCAGCCATGGGGAGAGCCCGCCGGAGGAGACGCCGTCGCTGCAGAGGAACCATCTGTCTAAAGGCCTGGAGGATCAATATCCCATTGAGGTGAGTCTCTCCGCTGGGATATGGGATGGCGTAATCTGGGCTACGTTTCATTTGAAAAATTGGTAGTCTGCTGAGGGCTGGCCCGCTGCGTTATCGCGGCGTTGAGAAGTAACGGGGAGCCGCTTTGTCCTGTGGCGCTTACCTTGTGTTCGGTCGTGCAAGACGTCCCTGACTCCGTGTTACTCAGTGTTTGTGGTCCTTATGTGATATCCTGCATTCCCTTTGACTCTGCTTCTTGTTCCCTCAAGGAAATTCAGCTTGTAAAAGCAGGTGGTCCTCTGGGACTCAGCATCGTAGGAGGCAGTGACCATTCAAGCCATCCATTTGGGATTCATGAACCAGGTGTCTTCATTTCAAAGGTAGAGTCCTGTGTGAGCAGCCTAGCAGTGGACATTCCTCAGCTGCTTAATTATTGGGGTTAAGATGAAGGATTTTGATGCAAGAGTCTGAGAAGTGCAGTATAGATTTAAAAAAAAAAAAAAAATGGGATGGGAGAGGGATGTGTGCATATCTAAAGGGTTACCTTATACTAGACACACCGCTGCTGTTGCAGAACTCTAAATGGCATGTAAGAACCTGCAAACCTGTATAATTCATGCTGAACTGTTTGCGGAGAATTAGCTTTTGAAATTGCTGAGCTTATGTTAGCTTTTAATGGATCCTGGAAAGATGTAGGAATTTCAGAAAACCAGTCATTACTCAGAAGGCATCAGTGGGATGAATGTGTAACTGCCAGGAAAAACCAAGTGCTCTTCTGCCTTCAGGCCAGCGTCCTTCGGCCCAACGTTCTCTTTCCAGTGGTGGCATTAGCTGATGCTATTTAGAGACAGCACGCAAGTCAGCCGCTTGCTGCAGCTCACCCCCTTCGCAGTCCCGCACACCCACGCTTGTTGGATTAGGGATGTTAGAGAGGACGTTCCTGCCCAGCCCTTTCTGCATCCGCATGTCTCATGTCCCTTGGACGTGCTGAATCTGTGTCCTCTAACACCCATGGCTGCAAGTCCCAGAACATCGTTACCGTCACCCGAAGCAGCACAATTTGATCTGCTCTAAGCCAACGTCGCACTGGTTGCGCTGAGTGCTCCTCCATTCTTGTATTGCCAGTTTGGTAAACAGAAGTCCTGTATTCAGCTTATTTCCCACCTTCAGCGTTGTAAACCTCCTTCACTTCACTTCACTTCAGTGTTGTAAATTCCCCTTCCTCACCTTTCTCTCCAAACTCAAGAGTTGCGGCCTTCATTTCTCCTTGCACGGCGCTGCTCTCTCCCCCCTTATTTTAGTTGCCTTTCTCTGGACCTTCTCTAGCCCCACTACGTCCTTCTCAAGATGTGGCGTCACAGGATCAGTCAGGTTGGACGGGACCTGCAGAGGTGATTCGATCTCATGGATAGCGCGGGGCCAGCCCAGATCAGCTTGCTGAGGGCCTCCTCTAGTCGAGTTCTGAGTGTGGCCGGAGGTGGAGATCTCACAGCCTCTCTGGGATCCTCCTCCGATGTTTAACTACTGTTATGGTGAACGTTTTCTTCCTGATACCTAGTCAGAATTTTCCTTGTTCCAGCTTGGATCCCTTGCCTCTCTCCGTACGCTGCTGCGTGCCTTTGCGAAGAGCCTGGCCTCGGTTTCCTCTGCACCGTTGTGTTGGGTAGTTGAAGACAGCAGCAACGTCCCCTTTAGCTTTCTGTTCTCGGGAATGAAAAACTCCAGGTCTCCCTGCCTCTCTTTGTATAATGTATTCTCTACACCCCTGTTCATCTTCTTGGCCCTCCGCTGCACTCGTTGCGGTTTGTCGGTGTCTGTCTTCTACTCCAGGTGCGGTGTCACGAGCACTGGTTACTGGGGAACGATCACTTCCCTCAACTGACTGGTTACACCCTCCGCTGTCGCAAGGGCACGCCGCCGACTTAACTGTCTTTCCCAGTAGACTGGATCCAAGCCTCTGGCTGGCGACAAGCCTCCCGAAACAGCACCTCTGTTTGGCAGATGTGTGCCGCTGTCCCTTGCAGAAGTGGTTTCCAGTAGGTTTCACCCGATGCTTCTTGTTGGCGCTGACACGTGGTTCATTTTTGGATGGCTCCAGTGCCTCCTGTTGTGTAGTTTGTTTCTCCCCGTCTGTTACAAGGCGCTATACCTATTTTTTATCTGCGTGTCAGTAGAGAGGAGGACTCTTCCCTCTGTTGCCAGCGATCTCAAGCTCCCAGCCTTCCCCAGTTTGGGAGCCTCTGCTGTTTGTTTAAGCGTAGCCCTTAGCTGACCCTTCTTCCCTGCGAGGTGGGATTTGGACTCCTCTCTGCAGGGTTTCTGCGAAGAGCCTGCTGCTCTCTTGTTCATTTTCACAGACGCTATGCAGTATGCTTATCTCATCCTGGAGCTCCTTCACCTGCCAGCTCGGCACCCAGATCAGAGCACACCTTCCACTGGTGAGGCCACCGCCAACCTCAGGGAGAGGGCCCCGGCGCAGCCCGTAGCCCAAGAAAGCTGTATGCTTCCTCCGAAGAGCCGGGGATGCCTTACCTTGGGGCATACCACCATCGTGCTTGCACGGTCCTCCGTGCAGTTTCTGGGTCCCCTTCTGCTCTGCCTTTTTGGGAGCACAGAACTGAACAGTCCTGGAGATGGGGGTGATTGTGTCTGTCTTAGTCTCAGTACCCTTTCTGATGACGCCCAAAATTTTGTTGGTTTTCTTCTTGTCTCTTCCTGCATGTGGAGCCCATGAACATGCGACGACGTCTCTAGGAACTTTCCTGCGTCACTGTTTCTGCGTTCAGTGTTGTGTGTGCGTGGTTTAAGGTGTTCTTCCATAGACTCATTGTCTGTGCTGAAACTCATGCCGCGTCTTTTTGTCCAGTTTTCTTAACCCGTTTTGAAGTTCCCCACCACCAGGGTGCTACTTGGCTGCCCAAAACAGCACAGTATCATCTGCAGACCTGGAGATTTCACTGTTCACTTCCTTTTTCAGGTCACAGGTGGACATGCCGAATAACCCCAGTCTCGCACCAATCCCTCGGGCACCCACCAGCGAATCTTTTGTGTCCTGAGCAGCAGCTCTCCAGCCCTGCCCTTTGTGTTTCCTCTCCTTTAACCAGCTTTCAGACCTTTAGGGTGGCCTTTCCTCCTGTCCAGTGGACACGGCTTCTCTAATAGCCTTTAGGTTTAGACCTTGTCAAGGGCTGTTTGGAAATCCAGAAGTTACGTCTGCCAGATTCCTTCCTTCTTGTGTTCATTGCTTCTCTCACGGTGCTTCAGCAGGTCAGTGAGGCAGGATTTGCTTTTACCAAAGCCAAACCAACACTTTCCCAAACCCCCTACTTATCCGCATGCTCACAAATCTTACTCTTTCTTTGTTGGCTCTCTTGTTTTACCAGGGATAGACGTTAGGTTCCTTCGTTAGCAACTCTGTGGCTCTCGAGATCCCCTCTGGAGCCCTTTTTGAGGACTGGAGTTGTGCTGACACTGCCAGTCCTGGTACAGCGACCATTTGTGGTGGCAGATGGGGCACTGCTGACAACAGCCCTGCGGTTTCACATTTGAGTTCCTTCAGCGTTCTTGTGAGAAAGGTCGTACAGTCGCAGGCAAAATAATGGAGAAGCTGACACAGGATTGGTTCAGATGAAACCGATAGTGTGAGAATATAACAACGCGTTGAATGACGCTTTAAAGCAAATCTTACTTCATTCTTCACCAGTGTTCACAGATACGGTACCTTTTGGGGAGCTTTGGTTGCAGAGAGAGAAGTCCAAAGAGGCCTCAGAGAATGTTGGAGGAATGCCTGGGGACACAATCAGTTTTTCTCCGTGGAGAGACGGAATTTCCTTCTCTGGTTGTAATATTAATGATTTTTCTAGGTCATTCCCCGTGGACTGGCTTCTCGCAGTGGGCTCCGTGTGGGGGACAGGATCTTGGAGGTAAATAGTATTGACCTGCGCCACGCTACCCACCAGGAAGCCGTGAACGCCCTGCTCTCCAACACGCAGGAGCTGACTATGTTAGTGAGGCGAGACCCGCCACCGCCCGGCATGCAGGTAGGTTCTGAGTGGGAGAACTGGGGGGCAATCGCACTCTTCTTTACAGCAGGATCACTTTTGAAAGCAATTTCTTACCCAGCTGGAAGTCTGGGATTAGGGTACAACCAAACTTCCGGTTGAAATGTCCTTCTCTTGTGGCAGAATGTCGTCTCTTGTGAGTATATATCCAGTGGAGGACTGTGGAGGGTCTCTTGCCATGCCCGCGGTGATAGTGTGGTCGGAGAATTACCGGATTTCATGCAGACCAGAGCTGAACAGGAGAGAGAAATACAGAAAAGGGCAGAGCCTCATCAAAAGGAATAAACAGTGCCAAATGAGTGAAAGGTCTAATTCGAGTCCTTTCCAGGGTATTTAGAACGTGGCCAGCTACTAGGAGCAGTTCCTCCACAATTCCAGTCTGAACTTGACCCAGAAACAAGGAGACCTTTTCTGTGTTTACAGGAAATATGCATTGAAAAGGCTCCGGGAGAAAAGCTGGGCATCAGCATCCGGGGTGGAGCAAAAGGGCATGCTGGAAATCCATTTGATCCCACTGATGAAGGCATCTTCATTTCGAAGGTACCAGACCCCTGACTCTGCGACTTGGCTGCATGCAAGGACTGCTGGGGAAAAGGGTGATCCCTGTGGAATTTGTTCGATGTGCTCTCGGCACTTTTCACTGGGTACATCAGTTCTCCTGCAGTATTATCCGTTCACTCAAGGAGGCGCATCTGTTTCCTTTCATATTTCCTCCACAACAGCTACAAAATTCCTTCTCTCGTTTCCTGTGTTTGCTTTTATTTTGCCTTGCGTTTCTTCTCTTGCTTTTTTTTTCTATAACGTGAACCCCTACATCTTTCCTTTTCCCCTCCGTTCCTATGGCTTCCCCCAAGTGCTTGGGGCCTTCCTGCCCACTCAAGCACGCGCTCTCTTTCCTCCTTTCGTCGAAAGCGTTATGAATTGCTCACCCTTCCTCCTGTGCCACGCACCGTGTATGTAGTTTTGTTCCCTTTCCCTTTGTAAATGACTGCTTGTGTTCATACTCACTTGTCGTGTCACTTTTCCCCAAGAAGTAACGCATATTTTCTTTACAACAATATACTCTGTCTAAGCTTATGCTCCTCCTCACCCTTACCAAAAAGTGTCGCCTCTTCTTTCTGGTTAGCAACTCGGCGTAGTCTTCTGCTGCCCAAAGAGGGACTCTGGATGTTCACATTAGTGTCACCGGTTCCCTCTTTAGCTGGTGTGGTAGGGTGGAAACGGCCTTAGCTGTAGAGGTCTTAATAATCCTTGCGGGATGGCGGACACTCCATGATTGCCAGTTAACCCTTGCTGATAACTGGCCGCTTTCAAAGAAAGGGAATATTCAGCATTTGTTATTCCTTGGGTGTACCTTCTTTATCTGAGTTTTAAAGTTAAGAGAGTAAATTCACCTCATCAAAGTAATAGTTGCGTATTCAACTGCAATATTTGTAATAGTAGTAAAAGAAAACCTAAGATTCTTGTAACCTGCAATTATTTTTAATGATTAGGTTTGGTTTTGTCTCCTTCAGCGTTACAGCACATCGGGGTTGGGGAGGTTTACAGTTTAGCCCCGTTGCAGGGTTGGCTTAGCCCCCTCCCCCTCTTTTTTTTTTTTTTTTTTTAATAGTGGGTGTTTTGGCCTGTGGAGAACCAAAGCGCTGAACTTTTCTGCTCTCCCTTCAACTGTGTTACTTCAGCTTGATCTGTCTTGCCTGTCCTAACCAGAGTGTTTTTCCTGCTTCTCTTCTTTTGTCTGTGTATTTCCAGTACCTGAGAGACAAAGTAGTGCTTTTTCTTCTTCCCCCTCTTTGGATGTCTGATTACTACTTTCTTTCTCCTTAGTTTTTCTTAATTTGCATTTCCCTGAGTCCCGTAATTGTCATTTGTTAAAAGTCGTAATTGGTTCTTCCTTTTTAAAACCTTCTTGATGAAGTGTTACAAGTTGAATACTGTGAGAAGTGTAAATTATATCTACAATTTGAAATTCATGATCTGTCTCAATGGGGACAGCTCAGTGTCCCTCAGTGACATATCAATAATACAGATGACAGTTGGCATTAAGAACATTTTTCGACATTAACTTCACCTCCTCCCATTATTTCTGGGTGTTCTACTGTCACACTTACGCACTTGCTCTCCCTGGAAAAGAAATTGTGAGTACTCCGTCTTTTTCCATTCCGCTGCATGGGACCACTGTTGTGCATGCACACGCACTCACACACACCCACATGTTTTCCTTTACAGCCCTGAAGAAATTATGTGTAGGCATGCATGGCTGCTTTCTTTCCCCAATCCTAAAAAAAAAAAAACAAACAACCCAGAAAGCATGCAGCATTTTTCCTCCTGTTTTTACAGGTACTTGATTAAATGTGTGTCTGTTGGGTTTTCTCCAAAACAGCTCTCATAAATCCAGTAAACTCCCACGCCTTTGTTTTGGTTTGGGGTTTTTTGCCTCTCTGACCCCAGTAATACGTGGTGTGCGGTAGTCCTTTCGTTCGTTCGTTCTTTCTTTTGCTCTTTCTTTCCTTCCTCCGGTGGTACCTGTGCCTCCATCCTCCCTTGACAACCAGTCGTGCGTGTCCTTGGATCTCCCCCGCCCAGCAACCGACTTTGTGTGCCCTTGTGCTCTCTGTTCTCTTGTCACGGATCTGCGGGCTTTGCTGGAGATCCCTGACATGGATGTGCTCTTTCTGCGAAGCCCTCGTGTGGCGCTGGTGGTGGTTCTCTTTGTAAAGCTTCGTCACGTTGGCTCTTTGGCTTTGAGATGGGCCTTGGAACTGAAGCCGTTCGTTTGTCTCTGGGGTTCCCAGCGGGCTCTGCCCGTGTACCGAATGTACCAAGGTCTCCACGTGCTCTGGCTTGACTGCGTGGACGTCCCATTTTGTTCCAGGCTTTTGGTTTCCCGTTAGGAAAAGTAATGCCCGTTTGGTGATTCTGTTCCTTTTCCTGAGGCGCTTTAAGTTGTATCCTATATTTCTGTCTGGTTCCTGACAGTAGCTTCGCCTCTTGCCGTTGCTCAATTTTTTTCTCACTTCCCCGGCTTGCGTATTTCTCCTGAGCCTCATGTTTGCATGTGTCTGGGGGTGGATTTGGGGGATTTTCCTTTCCCCCTTCCCTTTTTCCGCCTTCCCTTTTTCCCCTTCCCTTTTTCCCCTTCCCTTTTTCCCCTTCCCTTTTTCCCCTTCCCTTTTTCCCCTTCCCTTTTTCCCCCTTCCCTTTTTCCCCTTCCCTTTTTCCCCCTTCCCTTTTCCCCTTCCATTTTCCCCCTTCCCTTTTTCTCCCTTCCCTTTTTCCCCTTCCATTTTCCCCCTTCCCTTTTTCCCCTGCCCTTTTTCACCCTTCCCTTTTTCCCCTTCCCTTTTTCCCCCTTC